GATCTCATATGATCTCTGACAGAACTTGTATGTTGTGTTGTGGGTAATGCAGGGGGCAGTTTTTGAAAAGGAAGAAGAAAGTGTGGAATAAAAAAGATGATATCTCTGGTTCTGCTGCATCAATTTGGTTCTTTTTTTAGAAACTGAAGTAAAAAACTAAATCAATGGAGTACTCTTTTAAATGATTAACTGACTGAGAGGCAATTGCAAAATAATTGTTAAATGAAACTACCAACAACACAAATAATACAAATGCTACACAGCTCTGTAATTTGATGTCCAATTAAACCCCACGGATTCACTATGGTGAAGCTTTCAGCTGTCTGCTTATGAAAGAATTTGAGCCTCTCTGTTAGTCGTTAGAAAGGTCACCGTCTGCTACTGCTACAAGTCTGAGTCATCCAGCATGAATTTACAAATGAAACGTGACATTTGAGCTTTATAAACAAGGTGTTTTTCTTTTTTAAAAGAGCTGCTGGCTTCACCGAGGTCCCTGCAGACACCTTATCTGTGCAACCTCATGACAGGCAGGAAGAGGGTTCTGAAACGGAGACAACAGTCCTCTCCCACACGAGCGCACACACACACACACACACACACACACACACATAAACATACACAGCGGCAGAGTAAAGGACGGCCATCTCACCTGGTCGTCCACTTTGTGGGCCACGATCGTAGCCGCCTCCTCCTGCTCAGCATCGCTAAGGGGTCGGATCCTCAAGGCAACCTGCAGCACAGAGTATATTTAGTCGTGTTTGAATTTAATCAACACAGAGATATTCAATTTACTGAAATTATAGGTTAGAAAATGAATTGAACTCTGCCTCGATGGGCAGGAACGACGCTGACAGCACTAAATGTATAGCTTCTACAGTGAATGAGTCTGTGCGTCTGTGTTATATCTAGAGTCGTGGCTGAATTCTAGGTTCCTCCATCGATTTTGACCATTTTTACAGATCTCTTTTAATCTTTTAAATGTCAAGCACAGAATATACGATTTTCTTCCATTCAGCCAGATAAAGACCACTCACATGTATCTGGCCCTGAGCTTAAACTGAACCCTGAATTCTGAATTAATTTCACATTTAATATAATTTTTTTTCTCTCTAGTTTCCAGCCCTCACAGCCTAAACACGCGTAGGTGATTTAAACTGGAAACTCAAAATTGTAAAAGATGTAAAAAAAAACATGCCGCCAGCAGCCTGAATGTGATGAACAGGTACAAAAAAACATTGAATGAATCGACTAACTAATTTAACTCCACATTCCACTCTTCACGGCCTGATTAATGTCAAGACGCCCTGCAAAACTTAAGAAACACATTACAGTTAAGACATTTCCGACAGTCAGCAACACTCATCTCAAATGTGAAACAGACACCTGTAGTTTTTGACGGTACATTAGCTTCCCCTTATCAACGCTGGACAGCATGATGTCTTTTCATGAAAACAGACAATATCAATCACAGCAGCAGCGGCGTCGTGTACCCACTGGCATATGCAACAACACTGATGTACTGTTGAACACACTGCAGCATGCTAAATAAACCACTTTAAAGTATTTGTAATAATAATGATAATATGAATAGTAATAATGTAATATTGTTCCAATAATAAGGCACTTTCTCTGTCAGCACCCTGTAGAAAGTGCATTACATGCTGTACAAGGGAGAGGCCAGGCAACTCAAACAGCCACTTCAATAATTCAGATATAGACTGCAGAACCCAGAGCAGGTAGTGTATGGTTTGAATCCGGACATATTACACTAACAATGCACGCTGTTAGGAATTATAACAAGAATACACTGCACTGGGTACACTCGCACAATCTAATGCAAATGCTCTGCCATAAATTCTTCTTTTATAATGGCTTTTTTTTTTTTTTTTTTTTTTTTTACATAGAGGTGTTAATTAACTTATAGGTTTTAACAGTGAGGTCATAGTTAGTGGTAGTGTTGCACTGGGCTGCATCACATTCAGAAACACCTCTAAAGACATTGTAGTCCAGTGCAGTGTACACCAACTTTAACTCTACAGGCATCATAACAATAAAGAGTTGTATTAGATTGTGTAATTAGTTAAGCAGCAGATTTCTGTTTGTTCTTATATGTTTGAGGTTTATTAAACGTTATTGACTACTAACCACAGACTGTTTGAGTAAAGATTGTGCGAGTGAATGCCTTAGCCAGGAATTTAAAAAGTATAAACTCTGTACAACTCACAGTTAGTTGGTGGTCCTTTGATTCCCCCGTGTCCTTCATGGTCACTATCGGTCCGAGTGAAGGATAACGAGCGTCAGACGGGACACCGGACCATCCTCCTCGCTGTCGGTACCTGCATGCCTCCCCCCCCCCCACCCACCCCCTTCTGCTAACGAAACACCTGCAAGCCCACACAACTCAGCAACTCGTGGACTCTCCGCGGCTCCTGTAATGGTCTCTGTCTGTCTCCGGCTGAATAACAAACAGCAGTTAACTGTTACCGAGCCCAGAAACGACTTGACGACCTGAGCGTCACTATCAGCCGAGTCCCCCGGCTAACTGTAGTCTTTCTACGTCCCCCCCCCGCTCTCCCCCGCTCGTCCTGGTTCTCCCTCAGCAGGCACAGAAACACGGAGAATAATAGAAGAGACAGGTGGGTAACACCAGCAGCAGCCCACCTGCTACCTTCACTTCCTCAGCCGGTCCTCGCTCCTCTCCGCCGCCGCCCTGCTGCCGTTGGTTTCTATGTGCGTGCGTGTGCGCGTGTTTGCGTGAGCGCGCGTGCGTGCGGCCTTGTTGCCCCTGGAGATCCGCGGAGCGCCCGTGTTCCGTGAAGCTAACGTTAGCTAAATAAATGCTAACGTGACTTCCGACTATTAAATAAAAACGCGCGTCTTTTTTCATGTAATGTGATTTTGAAGAAAAAAATAATATCGCATTGATTCTATTTTGTTATTATATGTGTGCATTATTCCTTTATTATTATTATTTCCTTCACAAATGCAAACATTATTATTATTTTTACCTTCTAAAGTGTAAATATATTACAAATATATATATATATATATATATATATATATTAATCTAAAATTATAAATAAATATATAAATATGTGTTCTGCAGGAGTTAATACAGCTTCCACTGGGTAACATTTTTTTGCTGAGACTATGCTGCCACCTGCTGGCCAATTTAAAAGTTACCTTTCTTTGTGCCAACAGTCGACAAACAGAAGGACAAACACACACATTTTAAAATATAAACAAACACACATACTGAAACAAATACATCAGTCCGTTTTGGGGGCTCTGTTCCCAATTTATGTTAGAGGGTGAAAAAATTATAAGCTAGGTGTTCATCCCCTACCTAGTGTCCAAAACACCACAAACAAATACAATATATATTGCTTCATCTTGTCACTAATGATTGATTGAAGTGGTGTGTGTGAAATGTGTGTAGCTTGTGTTCCCTTTTGAACATAAATAAATGTTGGATATATGTTTTTCTCTGCAAAAAAAAAGTTAAATTACTTAGTCAAAAAAAATCTTAAAATGAAATCTGCATGTTCTCCCTCATCAAAGACTCTAGAATATATGAATATACAAGTTAAACTGCTGGACACAAGATATTCACTAATAAGTGTATGCGCACTGGAGCCTTCAAGTTTCCTCGCCACACTAGTGTAAGCTGAATATGGGTCCACAATTGGCTCCAAACTAGCTGTGCTGTTAAATCATGCATGTAAATGCACAGAGAAACTCTCCTCCTTCAGCAGATGAAAACAAATATATATGAAAACAACCTTCTAGTGCCAAACTCTGCACAGTAAAGTCAAACGTACAAGTAAAGTAACAGAAATATATCTGCAGTAAATATAATTTTCAGAGTTAATGTCATTTTAAGTCAAATCAAACATCAGTTTCCACTCAAATTAATACAGTAAAGCACTTAGTAAATGTACTTTGTTACTTTCCGCCACTGCCGGGCAACCAGCAGACTCAGAGAGTTACTCTACCCAGCCAAGAAAATGCATATAACCCCCTGAAAACCACAACCATTCTTTGATTTCTGTAGATCAAACAACCCAGATGTAAGGTGTTAAGTTGAGTGAGCTTTAGAGGTGCAGGCGGTTTTCATCACTTCATTAATTCCCTCGCCAATCAAATCAAGACATTTCCTCTCTGGAAAACTGTGAGTGGAATTTAGTATTATTTATGTGATATGATTAATCAGTTATTCAGAGGTGGTAACAGATTAGTCGATAACAAACATAATCTTCAGTTCCAGCCCGAGGAAAAAATCACTAAACATAATCTCAATAGTATGGAACAACATCACAGCCACAGTGTTAATGTGAAATAATTTAGCTGATTACAATAGCTATCAAGTTTTACAGTATTAATTAACATGCAGAAATTCAATCATCCCTCAGGCATGAAACTAAGATCACACAGTAAGATCAAATAAGTCATCATTTAGATGCTATAAGCAGATGTTAATTTACCACACTGTGGGATATGATATATAGAGTGGAATATTATCACATTATTATATGATTACCTTTTTGAATCATGCATTTTGGGTGCTTGATTAAACAAATTTAATGTCTGTATCTCTCATGAGCTATCACCAGTGCAGCCAAAATTAATGAATAATATAAAACACATTCACACATTTGAACAATTTGAATATGAACCTTAGTCTTGACTAGAATTGCAGCTGTGTCCATTTATTTCTCCCCTACTTTAACTCTAATTTGGAGTGCTTTAATAGACACAGACATCTTGTGAGGATTTAATTACAGTATTTTATATTATGCAAAGAAGTTATGAGAATGGATTAAAGTATGTTCAAAGGTTTGATGTCTTAAAAAAACATCTTTTGAGACTTCAAGGAGGCCAAGTGTCCTTTGGTGTCCATGAAAGTAACACGCAGCATTGTCGTTTGTTTTTTTACCATACAAAGTCGCCTTTCTGTTGCACCCGAAGGACACCCAACAACGAAGTGAAGACACATCGACTTGTACTCAAAACTTATTTATTCAACTCACAATTAGACCCTGAAGTTTTTAAGGTCACACACAAAATTAAGCACCACTCTCAGTGCCTGTACAATGTCACATGCTGAAAGAAATGACACTAAAGAAAATAATTAATAGACAAAACTGCATGTATTAAATCCCTACAGAAAAACAATTGTTAGTCAATACAAACTGTACTGTTTGGGTGGTTTGAAGTGATGAAAATAATTACCTGAATATTTTCAATGAATCATGGTTAGAGCAGCACAGCTTCCCAAGTAATGAAAAAGACTACAACTTTTTTGTATTAGTCGGATTAGATATGCAGAAAACATGAATTAATGGCCCTTTAGAAAATACAAAAAAATATATAAAAATGGCACATTGTTTAAACAAAAATAATCCACATGACAATGAGTCAACAGTCTGTTATTGTACAACTTATATACAGAAGCCATGGTCTCAAGGTAGTCTCGTCTCCAGGAGATTTAGAAACATAAAGCTTCACTTGCAGGCATGTCTGTGTGCGAATATAAATAAATGATACCTCAACAATACCTCCTGCTGTGTGCTGCCAGTGCTGGGTTTGTGCTTCACAAATATCAAGCACGAAGCACAATACATAAAAAATGATATGCCACGTTTACATCAGCTTTATCACATGTTCATCTTTGGAGACCAGAATGTACGTTTTGGAAAGATCTTGTTGGAACAGGAGAGACGAATATTTTTAAAAAATTGATTTATTTTGCGAACATGTTTCTTAATGTTTTACTGCAGTGAGAGATTAATCCTCTATCATCTGTTTCGTCTTCGTGAAGAGTCGAATCTTTGCCATCGCACCTTGTTCCCCCCCCTCCCCCCAATGCTTCACCGACATGTGACGCAGCCTGACGACTAACGTGTCAGGTAGCGAAGGAACACAATGTATTAAGAGCAGGTTAAGTTCGACAGCGCGTGTCAAAAATATTTAGCAAGTTCCCCCCACGAGTGACAGAAAAGTGTGATTAATCATTTATGAGCGTACGACACACAGAGACCAGTACAGATATGGATCCATCGTCCCCAAAAGACTGCCAGAATGGAGTACTGCTGGACTTACAAGATGTTACACACTGTCCTCTGTGATGCTTGGAACAGCCACACACTCTTTGTCTGTTGAGCGTGTGTGTGTGCGTGTGTGTGTGTGTGTGTGTGTGTGTGTGTGTGTGTGTGTGTGAATGTGTGTTGGGTGATGCCGTTTCCCTCCTCGGACAGATAAAGAAGTCTATGCTTGGAAGTCGTTGCCAAACTGTCTTCTCTGTTCCTCGGTCATGGACAGGTAGGTGGCCCTCATACTGGGAGAGTACTGCGGAGGAGAAGGTAAACACACGGACACACACAGAGAACATTATAAAGCTGATACAAGGTTTCACAGGCACAGACTGAGCCTAATCATCAGCTAAAGAAGAAAGATAATGTCATGGGGGTTTAAAGGAATATTCCACCCAAAATCTATCTTTTGAGTAGCTATTTCTCGCCGCGTGCTGGGTTAAAAGGTGGCTCCCTGAAGACTGAACCTTGGCATAGGACGGCAGCTGCAGCCAGCTAGGGTTCACAGGATTTAGCGAGTTGGTAACGCAGACTATGGCAGCATTATCGTTGCACCAATAAATCGCTAAAACGGCTACTTTAAAGGGTTAGGATTAGGTTTTCATGGTAAGAGTTTGATGAGACGACTGTTACCACCCTCAGATTTGAGCGTGGTAACTATCTTTTAATAAAAAAAGCACATTTTACCAAAATGTCAAACTATTGTTTGAATATTTCCTGTCATTTCAGATCCTGCCATTGTTCCCAATATGTTCTAACCAGTTTTCATCACCTGACCTCCACGCCCACCTGCACACATGCTCACTGTATTTATACAGTATTTGCCCTTTCATCCCCGGTACTACACCACATGCGTTCTAGCGTCTGTTTTCCTGTCTGCGCTTTTTGGACTTTGGCCTGCCTGATTATACACGTATGGACTTGTTTGCTTGCTCAGACTGAATATCTGCGACTGGGCGCCTTTTACTGTCCCACTTTCGTCCGTGAGTCATGACTTTGCGTCAGCACCTCGCTTACTTGGGTCGTTACAAGATCAACAGCCGAGAGGTGGACGCTGCTGCTGGAGTGGTTTGAGAGGTTTCTATGGATGCTTTACTGCGTTTTCACATGAATCTGAAAGCTGACTACAGTTGCCTTCTTCCAAAAAGAAGCAAACAACCATCTTTTAAGAGCCACCTTCCAGGCCACAGGTGCTAAAAAGATAGATTTTTTGTAGAGTAATTCCTTTAACTCGAACATACAAAACTGGCTCAGGGCATAGATAAATGTAATCTTTGTTTACAACAAATCAACCCAGTACTCATTAACTGCACAATTAACAACATATTAATCACTTTTGACATTCATTTTGTCAATACCTAGATAAAATACACTCTATAGCACACCACAAGGCCTGGTGTTAAACACCTTGTGGCAGTACAAGCTATAGAGTTGAATGGCTGGGGCAGAACTGCATGCACAGAGAGGCTAACTGTGAGGAAATCCAGAGACATAACTACAGTACCACCCTGCGAACGCCAGGGGCAGACAAACCCTCACTAACTCAAACAGACTTTCTGGAATGAGAATAAGAAGTTGTGAGTAAAAAGCCATGCCAAACAGGAAAACTGCACAGGAACCAAACAACGTTATGTGAGGTGAAGGAGAGGTAAAAGACGGAGATGCAACAGAGGAAAAGTGAGGGAGTTAATCCTGAGGAAAGAGTTGAAAAGACTTACTCGGTTTCTATACTGCTGAGAGTATATCTCCAAAAGTTGATAAAAAAAGGAGGAAATATAGAAATGAAAGATACAAACAAACAAACAAACAAACAAACATACACATGACAAACGAACAAACAAAAAATATATAAAAGAAGCTGTTAGCTGCAGACTACTGCATGGTGCTGTACAGTTATAGTCATGAGGGAGAATTTAATTATGCATTACTTGCTGGTATTAATTAGGAAAGAAGTCATAAGGCAAAGTACATCACATTTTCTGGTTAACTCAAGTTGGAACTAAAGGCCAAAGGTTAATGAGAATGACGACTGACATAAGCAAAGGTTTTTCTTCTTTACCTAGAAAAACTGTGGCAACACTAACATGAAAAGTAGACATCTTTGTTGCAATTTGGTAGAATTCCAAACTCTATGCATAACAACAAATAATATGCAATTCATCATTAATAAATAGTTGGTGTTCACAGCATTGTCTCTCTAAGTGACCCTTTAAAAAGAGGGTTATAAAACAGTGATCTAAAGTAGATTAGATACCCGCAGAATGCATTTAACTGCTGTATTTTATCACACGCTTGTGCAGCATGTTATGAAGAGGCTGCGACCAATGAAAATTTAATCCAAAATGTACCTATTTTTATCTCTGTGATGTACAGTAACAGGAGACAAGCGGCCCAGCGGGGGTGAATTTATTCAATGAGGAAGAAAATCTTTAGTGTCAACAGTAAGCCAGTTTATGGGTTACGACCCGTGTCACTTCCTCCTGGGAATTTGGCCTGAGAGGAACTAAATGATGTTCTATTCATGATTAAATATTAACTACATTACTTCTCCTCTCCTTGCTTTGGCACTGTAAGTCAGCCTCCTGTAAGTTATGGAGGGCAGGAGAAGGCACAGATTACAACGGAAGAGTGTCTCATTAAATGCCTTTAAGAAATCTTTAAAAAAAAACTTGATTAAATAAAATAAAGGTTATCAGATATGGCTTAACATTTTAGCGATGTAAAGGTGACATTTAAGGAAGGAAGTGAGCTGAGTCACTGAGTGAAAAATTCTGTCAGCAGTTATTTATAATAAAACAATTTCCTGTGCTTTAAAGGCTAAATTTGTCTGCTAGCTCAGAGTTGACATCATAAAAAGGATTTGGTCTCTGGGACCCAACGCACCGACGGGGGTGGAGAGCCTCGTCCTATCAGAGGCACGTTCTCGTACCGTGGATTTCCCCCGAACAGAGCTGTCTGGTTCCTGAGAAGGAATGACAGAAGCGAGGAATGGTGAATCCCGCAAAAAAAACGTAGAACACACACACACTTGGTTTCACACATTGTTGTCCTCTCACTCACATGTACTCAGACATGGGGGCGTTGGAGACAGCTGGTGCGGGCGGGTGGAGGCTGGTCTGGCTGCCCATGCTGCTGCTGTAGCTGCAGAAGCTGTGCATGTTGGTGAGGTTGGGATTCTGAGAGCCTATCCTCCTCGCGCGCGGGTTGAACGGATCCTCCTCGTCGATGTCGTCGTAATCTCGTTCCCTAAAGAAAACATCAGCAGAGGAGAGAGGTGATTGGTCCGGAGGTTTTCAAACTGTGATAGGTGTAAGAAGAACCTGCCTGAGAAACTTTTTAGGTTTTCTTCAGTACCAGAGTAATCCAGTGATAGACGTAACTCGCAGAATCTATTACACTTCCTGTTTACATCCCCTGATGTTCCAGAGCTTGATTATCTCCAAAATATAAGTAAGACAGAACAATAACAGGAGGGAAATCCATTAATATTGTCTGATTTAAACTTGAATCTGAGTTTTGAATGTTTAACTGCAGTATGTAAGACTGCTGCTGACCAGTTCCGAAAGTACAAAGGGTTTTTAATTTCCTACCTTCCAGGAAACAGTGTGTTTCTTTAGTACTGTATGAATATCAGCTTAACAGAGACTTGAAACATTCTTGTGTTATCAGTGTTTGGTAATACAGCTGAGCGCAGGGACTCTTCCTTATTGGTGCTTTCTATGAAGCTCAAACTTCTGAGATTCAGACGTCAGCTACTGATAAGCATTAACAAGCTCTACTGACAGGAAATCAAACCCAGACATAGAAATGGCGAACAAGATAATGCCAATTTTGTTGTTTCTTGTATTAAAAAAGGCTGGTAGTTTCCATCGTGGGTGTCTTCACAAGAAGGATTTTCCCTGCTTACACCTTTCATATGTGATAATAATGTAACTGACAAAAAAATAAAGGTGACAAATTGTTCATTGTGATGGATTACCTTTCTCAAGCCTGTTTCCATTCTATGCATATTATTATTCATTGTTTACTGAAATAGGTCAAAAACAATGCCAGCCTGAAGGACAGGAAATTAATCTGAAACTATAGTATGCATTGGTAATATAAATGACCGTATATTTGGATGGGTTAAACGTGCCTTATGGTCCTTTAAATTGATAAACAGTGAGGTTTAAAATTAAAGGTTAACGGGAAGGAAGCACACAGTAAACATGAATTCTATTGAATTATCAGCTACTTTAGCCGAACACCTTGCACTCACACAACTGAATTTGTATCTGTAGCAAAACATCTGGGCAATTGTGCAATTGTGAAAAATATTCACTCGCACACACATGCATGCTCACATGCTCATACATTATGTGAAGCTACACAGAGATGGCTGCAGGATGAGGAAATGAGGGCACTCAGGCAGGCAGGCAGGCAGGCAGGCAGACAAGCAGAGAACGAACTGACCTGCAGGCAATTTGTCTCCATGCCCTGGGAATGGCACACAGCATGACAGTGAAGGCACAGGCTGCAAGGGTGGAGAAGAGGCAGAGGTAGAGCACACCCTCCACGCCGTCATAGCACACCCCGACCATTGCATCCAGGTAGTCCTAAAGAGGTCAAACGCATAATGTCACATCAACAAAAATACACAAATAATTGTTTGCATAGGCAGACTCTTACTCTTACACATAAAATTAAGCAAAGGTGAAAAAGCACTTAGAGCTCTGGAGTGCGTCGTCTCCAGGAAGACATATACTATACATCTGCGTCAGGCACATTTAGTGGGACATTCAACATTATTCATGTAAACTGCAATGCAGTCATGAGCCACACTGTACAGTCTAAACAGAGCAGGGAACAATACATTAGTAAGAAAACACAGTTTAGAGAAGTGGATCTCGTTAAATTTCAAATTCTTTCTGTTTCTGCCTCGCTGTGCTCTCTTCCCAGTTCCAGTTTCGGTTTGATGCCGAAATCCTGCGTGGCCACTTAACTCTCCTGTTGACCTAGTTGTGCTGCTGTGATGCCAATTAGGATGCAGTGAACAAACCTTGTTGAGCCCCCTGCAGTCCAACAGGGCAGTCAGCTGGTGCAGACTGGCCTCTGAGGAGTTGAGCAAATGTTGGATACCCAGCAGGTCTCTCTGTGGAGAGGTCATACAGCATACACTATCACTGAGAAATACGTATTTATATGATAAGTTCCTTCTAATGTTGTGCCTTATACTACAGCCTAAAAGTCATAGCTTGGTGTTTGTGTGTGTTGTGATACCTCAGCTGTAGGGAACAGAGGCACAGCAAATTGCAGTAGACCCTGGATCTGGATCTGCATGGTGGTGAGGGACCTCTGGAAGATGGTTAGAGGCTGCGAACAAGAAAGTGCATTTGAACTCACACAGAGTAAAGAAGATGCAAATGAAGAGTAAACACTGATCTTAATGGAAGTCTTGAGGGAGCCATCATAATGAAAGAGAAAGCATACAGTGTAGAAAGTTGAGGCTCTCAAGGCTTTTTAATGGAGCTACTGTCAAATGACACAATGTGCATGCATTTCCTAAAGCAATTTGCAGACTTCTAGTCCTTCCACAAACGGAAAACACATGGATGAAAGCATAATAACCTACATAATGGATCTTACTTTTCTGCAATTTAATTTGTTAGTTTACAATCCAATTTGTCTCAAGAAAGTCAGTGAAAAGTATTTTTTGGACATGGAAGGCAACTTATTCAATGTGTGTAACAGACCCACCCCCCAAAAAGAAAAAGGTAAATGCCGGATAAAAATAAACGCTGTCCTAGACAATCTAAAGAGCATATGAGCTATGGTAGTTATCTTTGAGCAGGACTAGTTTATCTAATGTTACTTTGTCCTCCATTGTGATGTAGCCACTGCATTGTATCATGTGGTAAACAACCTTAATTACTAAGATGGAGCATTGTTCAATGACAAGAAACAGATTAACCAACAAGAAATAGTTGGTAAAGCTTATTTTTAGCTTTAGCATTACTGTGGTTTAGTTTTTACCTTAAAGTCATAATATGGTTGTAACATAGTTTGGACCAGATATGTTAGTATTTTCAAACTGCATATTCCTAGCCTTGGGCAAAGAGTTGGCCCTGGGATAACTTAGCCCCTTTCCACACACACATTAACCCAGGGTTAACCATGGCTACACAATTCCCACTGCACTTCAACTATCCCTGGGTTAAATGTTTGTTGGAACATGTGACTATGTTTACTGTAGCCCTGTGTTTAGTCGAATAAACTGTGGTTACAGTTGGGGTGTTAGCCCACTTTGGAATATGCAAGGATAGTGCCAGTGTGAAAACTTTATTAACCTGGGGCAAATAATATTCTAAGAATGTTTTTAGCCCCGGGCTAAGTGCAGCGTGAGAAGCCCTTGTTTATGTCTTTGTAAGGCACTGAACTGATACAGAATATTAAATTACTACATTACAGCATTCTGTAGTTTGAGTCTGTCATTGTGTAGATTTATGTTCTCACCGACAGGGGGCAAAATAAGCCTCCACATTCAATAGCTATGATAAAGGGGGATCATCACATCCTACCTGAAAGACAGCGCCTCATGCCCCGTGCCTCTTTTTAATTTAACGTTCAAGCATAACCATAAATGAATTAATCTTGTCACATCTCCAAGGAAAAATGGTATCTTCACAGTCACCCAACCTAACAGGAGTAGCCTGGAAAACCCCCAGGCCTGTGGCACAATGTTAAATAGAAACAGGGTATGGTCAATTACCTCAACCATCCATAAATGTAATTGCTTTCCTTTGATCTGACTTTTTTTTTCTGGATCTGCATGACTGTCCATGGTCAAACTGCTCTCTGCTGCACAATCCAAATGGCCTGATCAGATTTGGTTTTTTATTTTATTTTAGCTTGGGTGAGTTTGTTCTGAGCCAAATAAAGTAGGACAGTGAAAGTGGATAGAGGAGGACAGTAAGAAAAAGAGAAGAGATGACAATGATAAGAATAGAAAAAGAGCTGCGGAGAGAAGCAGAGTTGACACAGGAGTGATGCCCAGAGCAATGAAATACAAGGCCACAGAGGGTAGAACTACGGGGCACTGCTGTGGTTCTGGCTGAGAATACACAAGAGAGACACATAAAAGTGAAAGAGAGGGAGTGCTTGTATGTTTGTCGATCAGTATGAATTCCTCTATCTGCCAGCTTGCTTGTGAACTTTGCACCTGTTGGGCGTCTGTGTGGCAGAGAAAAGAGTGCTGACTTTGTTTACCAGGCGGGGTGACGGTTGCCTGCCCTCTGTTGCTGTGCTCTAGTTATCCTCAGGGCATGTCTACGAGAGCCAGATAATAAGATCTGAGCTCCGCTGGGCCAGAGCTCGCAGAAATTGACTTCACCGCTGTCAGTGATGTGGCCCACAATTCCTACTCTCCCAAGAGTAACCTCGCAGATCGCTCAGAAGAGGGGGGACGAGGCAGATTCACCAAATTGCTTCATCTAATCTTCAATTTTATAGCTCTTGTCTTGGCAGCTTTATAACATTCTGGCATGTTTTGGCTTGTTTGCTCGATGCATGCAGACGAATGGAGAAATACAGGAGAAATAGAAAGAGAGAGAGATAATGGTGGCGGCCTGGGAGAAAGTGTTGTAATGTTCTTCCAGACTTGAGAGGTGAGGTTAGGATGTAAATTAGACTGAACAGGGAGAAAGAGCTTGACAAAGATGAGGCTTGAGGGGCAGAGAGATGAACTCCCCATCGAACGCTGATTTAGGGAATTACAGGTAAAAAGATGTCTAGACTATTGGTTAAAAGTGAACAAACTTTTAATTGCTTTAGAGTTTTAAAACATCTAGAGTTACATAAAACCATTTTTTGGACAGCTTTGCAGGGAACTGTGCCACATTTAAATATAGTCAGTATGAAACAAAGGCGGAGAACTATAGCCAGAATTTTGAGTTATTTGGAATTACTTGGATTTTTTAAAATATTTTATTTAATCAGTTAACTGTTCACTGTTCACTTATATTCCAGTACATAAATTCAGTCCTTTATAGAGCTAGGTATCAAACCTTAATACACTCTTAAGTACGGACCGGAATGTATCTAGTATCCATGACTGTTATGTATCAAATTTGGTATTTAATATTTCTAGTAATATCTAGATTCTACAGCTTGTTTATGTAATTTTAATCAGATACCTCTGGTTTAAATACATGTGTTTATTCCCTAATGTATATGTATAAATATTGTATAAGTTCAGATACTGATTCCCATCCTTAGTCCTTCCCATCCTTTAAGTATAATGAGTCTAAACATACTGCAATCTGCCTGTAAAACACCCACTGTGTATAAGTTTTTAACTGTAGAATGTTATTTCCCCCCAAATTCCAAGAAAACAACCACAGTGTCCTCAGTGGTAGCTACGGCCCTGCTTATAGACGCCTACATGTTGAATGTTGAATGTTGAATTTTCAACTCCAGGTCAGCGGAGTGTCCTGTTTCCTACCTGCTGGAAGGGGTTGGAGAGGGTCTGGTTGCAGTAAAGGTAGTAATGAACAATATCTGTGAGAGAAACATAAACAGGCAGGAGAAGCAGATTAAATGCATTTCCAACCATCATCTTAATTAAAGCACAATTAGTGTCATGGCCACAGCTTTACGCTGTCACAATTACAACTCCATTAATGCAACGTTATTCACACTGAAACTCACCAGCACCGATGATACCCTTTGTTTGGCTCAGGAGGTACTTGTCAGGGGACACACAGAAATCACTTGTGCCCTGAAATAAAACAGGAGACGTGTGAGAGCAGTGAACAGAAAATAAAGAGAAAAGAAAGAATGGTTCTTGAAATAAGATGGTTAAAAAGAGAAATTCATAAAGAACCATTCAGAGAGGGAATGAATTAGAGTGTCAAATACTAAGTAACTGACATTAATAGTTTATTTAACACTCTGAAAGTTTTTTTTTGTCAAAGCTGAATAATAATGATGACTATCATCCTTATCACTTTTTGACACAAAAAGAAAATAAAGGGGACAGGCTGCTCTTATAATCCTCTTTAACATGTCTAGACAAGAATACTTTCCCATTCTGTCACTCACAGCCACTTTTACTCCACTGCACCACGCTAACAAGAAACCTGCCTTGGCAAAATAACAAAAGTGAGGAGCGGTGGTCTCCTCCGATCTGTGCTGTCTGAATGTTAAATGTCCCCCGGGCTCAGGACAAACACAGTCCGTGTAGCTCAACCTCCTCATGGGGGTGCGCTAATGAGCCCTGCGCACGGATGAGATAAAGCAAACCGAGTTCCTCTGCAAAACCCGAGCTGGTTTGTTAGAAACGAGGGACTCCAAGGAGCTCTGCAATTCAGGAGCAAGTTTGTTAGAATTCCTGAAGGGAAAACAATGATTCTCTGAGAATGCAGAGTTCTGATTACCCGCTGACTGTAATTAAGAGTTCTGCGAAGGGGGTTCATTCATTATGCATTCGTTTATTATGAAGGCTCTAATGCAACTGTAGTCTACGCACACACTACTTGAAGATTCCGGTGAAGACACAAACATCTGCAGCCAGTCGAGCGTCTCATACACACATCTGTCAACATAGACTGTCGCACACACGGAGATCCTCAGAATGACAAATATAATATCCACAAACTAATACACCACACTGGAAGGCAGGTTTGTTGTTCCCCTATATGTGGCGGTTGTCTGACATCATTAGGGCACAGCAACAAAACCCGTTCTCATTTAAAGTGGGACACAGCAGACTGGCAAACACATTATCACGAGTTCAAGCCTCAGTCAGGTCGGTAAGGGTGAAAAAAGCATTTCAGTGATTTTCAACCATTTTCGGGTGCCAGTAGTGTATATGGGCTACGTGACGGCTAAGTGGTTGCTGGCATGTTCTCCCTGCTTACAAACAAGTTCCCAACAGGTGCTCCACTTCCCCTCGACAGTCCAAAAGCGTTAAAGCCAGTAGAGAGTTGCCCACAGGGGTGAATGTCGGTTTATTTTAGCCCTGCAATGGACTGATGACCTGTCCAGGCTTTCCTACAGTCTGCTGCCCCTGAAAGCCCCCAGAAATGACTGACGGTGAAAGAAAATGGACAACTTACACATCAAGCCGAGGGTCTGAGTTAAACCATTACTGAAAAAATATGAAGTCAAGTTTATGTATAAGAGATTTGAGCTTGAAGTAAACACAAATCTTTCAGCTTGATTCACAATTCCACATCAGATTTATGTTTTCTCAGTATGACTGAAGCTCTTCCAGTCCATTAATCCATTATTCCACTGGCAGAAAATGCATTTTAATTAATTAAGTGCATTTTCGATAATGGATTAAGCATTTAAGTCGCCAACAATTCACTGTTTCCAGCTTCAGAAACGTGTAGATTTGCTGCTTTATTCTGTTTCATATATATATGTATCTATATATAAAGGCAATTTTGAAGACATCACCTCAGGCTGGTCGTGGAAGTCGTGATGCCTTCATGGTGAAAAAGGTTAGTCAGGGTTATGGTTTAGGGTTAGCACCCTAAGGGGCACTTTACCACATATTATCCACTGGAAGGGAACTCTAGAGGACACTTTATCATGCTTTATCTACCATAGGGGCATCCAAGAGGGAACTTTCGCACACACTCTAAACTCCTGTAACAATACTTTTTGCCCAACTTCAAACAAATCCCCCCATATACAAAGGAACACACACACACACACACACACACACACACACACACACGAGAGGCCTGTACCGCATACATTTGAGAAGACACGCCAGTTGAAGATTGTTCATGTAATTGCTTGGCTCACAGCCGTTTGTATCCCTGCCTGACCAATTATCAGGCCTTTCCAAGCTGTAGTGATGTTTGCTTTTAAGTAGAGAAAAGGCTGAGTGGCTGCACACAGTCCAGTCAGGGTCACCACGTACCAGACAGGTTACGTAACGTAAATGCCATGACTTTGCAACACGCACTGAAGAGGACTATAATTTCTGCACAGCAATTGCTATAAAGCCACATCATTCATCAAGTGCAGGTTTAGAACAAGGGGAGAGTTGAAGAGTCGCAGCTAACTTCTGATGACACCCCTGACCATTTTTTGTCAAGATAGGTCAACATTTTCCCTTGACACACAACAAAACAAAGCATTTAGAAAAATATTGATTGCTGCTGATATTCACAGTCCCTTAAGAGTGGATCGTTATATTTTATTTTCCTGACCTACCATGAAATGTATTGGATTCTTCATGCTCCTTAAAGGGACACACTCAGCCCAAACTTTCAAGTTTTTATTGAACATTTATGAATATTTATGTTCCCTAGAGAAGGAACCCCCTTTTGATTTTGGTGATCACATTTCCTTTCCAATAGCAGGACTGTTAAAGCTACATTTCCACCTGCACACAACATACTATATGTGACTGTGTAGCAGACTAATGGAACTGTATCTGTATGTCTGTATTGTGCAGTGTACTGAACACTGCATGCTTGCAGGGGTTTGGACTGGAAGTCTCAGTTTACCTGTGTGTCATAGCACTGGAATCACAAGGAATCCGCCATTAATCCAGCAAATGTAGACCACAGAGAGTGCAGACCCATACAGAAGACATTAAGACATTAGCAGATGAAAAAGGAAGATGAAACCAGAGACTAATGTGTTGTAACTGATCGCACCCCCTGCTGCTTTCTATGCTCATTATCTCAAACTTAAATTCACACATGTTCACAATCCTCTGCAGCCTCCAGTCAAAACACAACATCCAACAACGAACCTGAGAAAAATAGCACACATGCCCAAGGCAGGTGAGTCAAACACCACTGCTCATCCATCTGATCTTCATTCTTTCATATGTATATCTCTGTTTTCAAACATCACTCTAATTCTTACCCTCTAGGTCATTTTGTTTTGTGTGGGGACCATAATAGAGAAAAACACTGAAATTATTTACTCGTTCAGCATGATAGGCTTTGAAAGTTGCCATTGGATTCCTGTTGTTATAATCCTTGACTTTGAATCAAGTTATTCAAGCTTGTATAATGATGCTGACAAGGTGTGAATTTGGGATTTTGTTCTTTTGTCGGTCTATTTTTGGTGGCGCGCCGTGTGACAGGGGAGTTCAAAAGCGTATGAGGTGACAGAAAGACAAACTAAGATCAGAAGAATTAGAGACTGGGCAGCGAGAACACGCTAAAACCTTTTTAGATGACACTGCATGGCTGTGAGGTCTCTTTCTAGCTGATACACATGTTACTAAGAATAATTTAAACTTGATTAGCAGCTATGATTAGCTAGCCAATACATGCAATATTTTGGATAAAAAAGCTTCATTAAAATGCAACCAATTTTATGTTTTAGCATAAAGGTGCAGATGGCTTTGAGTTTGCTGTGCTGTGATTACTAACAGTTGTTTTCCATCCTTTTATAATGCCACTTTGCAGATTTTTTTTAGATGCATATAAATACACGTGCAAGTATATGCACATATATGCTGCAGTATATAATCATCTCTTCTCCCTTACCCTCACACATTGAAAGACATTTTTCAAGTGCAGGGTGCGTGTAGTTAAAGCAATTCATCACCACTGTCGGGGATGACGAGAATTGATTGCAGACCAGTTTATACTAGTTTATATTGGGGTAAGCCAGTCAGTGAGGTGCGAGGAAGCGAAGCAGCTCACCACAGCAGTGGCCAGGTCAGCTCCCAGGGAAGTCCAGCTCAGGACCAGCGTCAGCACTCCAAAAACCATCATCCTGCAGGGACACAAGGCAACAGCAAGGTCACAGTGCTGCTCAGTACAATAATCATTAAGTCAAATGCAGATTAACTGAGGCCTCAGCAACCAGGACACGATGGCTTGGTAAAGCTGGCCATTTATCCAAATGAAGTAAAGCCTGTCATTTGCCCAATTGAAACACAATGATTAATGATTTACATCACTCGTCCCACTTTTCAGTAAGTCCTGCACTTTGCAGTAAGTTCTCTCCAATAATTTGTATTGATTAAGAGAGAAGCACTTTTTCTTTCTTAAATCACATCATTAGAAAATTGGAAGAGTACCGAGTGTCTGTCATTTAAACCTGCAAAAAGCTTAGCTTTTTTGCCGCTTGGTGGCAGCAGAAACAAGTTAAAAACACAACAATGACATATCATCAGCTTTTATCGCAAACTTGTTAGCAAACAGATGCTTATTAACTAATTAATTAAGGTATGAAGCAACATTAATATTCATCTTACGTTGTGTTTGTGTCCACCTAATGAATTTGAAGTCCAACATTCACTCACTTTTCACTCTATTCTGTCATTTTAGCTGCTAAATGCTCTACTAGGTTCATTGGCTAGATGCTAAAGTGGTCTCCCTGACTTCTGATGCTGAGCAGGTAGCAAATAATGGATGATAATGGAAATGAGGACCAGTGTGTAGGCATTTACATTTGCATCTAGTGGTGAAGTTGCAGATTACAACCTCCTCGCCTCACCCTCCCGTTCCAGATCATTTGTGAAAGTCCCTGTCTACAACCATTAAGCAAATAAGTGGAATTTTGTTAATACAGTTATCAGCATCGTGCAGAGGGAGTACAGTGACGCAAATAGAATTATTCTCATAACAGCCTCTGCTATTGAAAGGAAACAGCGTGAGCCCCGAGGGCCGGGAGTGGTGTTCTCACTGGCCAGTCATTAACAGAAAAAGTCAGAGGTCATGGTTATTTCTATGGAAGTTGATTCTGCAGCCTTAATGTGGCTTTATGAACCGAGGAACGAGCATTGGAGCATATCTGCTCCGCTGGCCTACATTCGATTACAGCCCCCTGGGTGGAGGGCTGCTCCCTGCACCCATGAGGACAAAATAATGTGGTTTTGTTATACTGTGGGTTCCCTCCCTGATGATCTCATAGTATCACAAAATGACATCAGAGTCACTTGACAATGAAGGAAGAGTGATTGGAAGATTTTGGTGAGCATTTCTGCATGCAGGGGTGATGTGGCGGTCTGTGTGTATACAATGAGATAGAAGATCAATACCCATTAAAAGATGAAAACTGGTCCTATCATAGATTAGCTCTCGTTAGGTGAAATAATTTCCAGAAAATCCAATAAACTCCTGTTTATTTGACCATTGTGACACTTTCCCGATATTCCCCCAGCATGTCACCTGAGTTTAAATATAATTTAGGTATTCATATCCAGGCCTTGTCCATCTTTCAGCACTCTCCAGCTCCCTGGCTAATCCAATTCAAAATGTGCAGAGAAGATACTAAACTCCCAACGTTGAACTTACAAGCCACCACTTGTCCTTACTTATTCATCCTTTATCTTTTTTCCCCAGTTCTTTACTCACTCTATTCCCTTACTCCTCTCTCCCCTATCTTTTCTCTGCCTTCTGCCTCCCTCTTTATCAGTTTTTCACTGTTGTAGTCTGTCTCCTTCTCTCTCTGAGATACAGAGCCCTCACAAGCCCTGACTTCGCAAAGTGTTATCTTGATTTAAAATTGGAAAGCAAAAGTTGCTCTACTGTTTTACTGGTTCAGTGTGGTTTAGCACAGTAATGTCTATATGTAGCTGTATACAGTTACATAGAAAGTTACTCAGTATCTTTTCTGAGAACAATACACGAGTGCCCTGAATCTTTCTGTACATTGTTTTTACTTATTTAGTTTGTCTACTATTTGCTTGTCTATGATAGTGGTTCCCAACCTAACCTGTCTGCCAAAGAGGCCCCATCGGTATAATCAGAAATACAGAATCAGAACAAGATGATCAAAGGGATTAAAAAAAAAAAAAAATCGGTTCTGTTTATTATTCTGACTTTTCTCTAATTTATTCTCTTTATCTTGTGGAATACTGAATAATGTGACCTCATCAGGCTTCTAAAAGCCTTTCAAACAAAACAAAGTGAGCAGGAAAATCCCTCTTGGGTAGAACTGCTTTGTTTTTAAAAGGTCATAAGCCAAAAAGGATGGGAACCATTGGCCTATGTGTCTGCCAGGCCATTCCTATTTGACAGTTTGTTGTTGTAGGGTATGTGATACTGGACTGTGTGAGCTTCTTTAACTGTGACACTGGGGAAAATGGGAGAAATGCCCTCTGATCGACTCCTCAGAACCGGCAGGTCGCATCCAAACTAAGCGAGACTGTATTCAATTTTGTGCTTCGGTGGGTAAAGGGGATTCACTGAATGGCAGAATAGCAGGAAATCGGGTGTAAACCTGATGCAAAGCACATCAAGTGAAAAAGTCACAGAGGCCAATGAGCAGGGCAAATGCACTCACAAAGGATGAGGCCAAGTCATTCTGAATTAAATCAGTGGGTGAAGATTTTCTTCTTAACTGAAAATAATGAAATCTTTTGCTGCAAACCGCTGTTGCATCCAGTCTGTACAAAAGATATTGAAAGTGACGGCTCTATACAGCATTTATAAACCATCATTATACCGTATGTGTCAATTTAAACCGAGTGAAATAAAAGCGATATAACCCTCAAAGCAGAAATGCAGGGGACATGGCAACATACTACCTATGGCAATTAGCTTATCATAATAATGAACGTGGCTCAGAGACTACTGGTGAAAAACCTTGAATGCACATCATTATATTGTGTTGAACAAATCACAACTTTCTCAAAGGTTGCCTTTGATGTGATAATTTCTTAACAATCAAGATAACGTTCTCAACAGCACAATCATTACTGGCTTGCATGCTGACCATATATTGAGTATATTATGTATAGAAGTATTTGTATTCTTGTAGTATCACGCTAGAGCATTACAATATTTTGAATAGCTTGAATAGCGGCAGTTTTAATAAATCATCAAACAACCTGCCTCTCATCTTGAGTTTTTTCAAATCAACAACCTGCTGTGACCTGGATTTGCAGCTATTCAACCGAAGCTCTACCTCTCCTGCTCTCAATGAATATTAAAGAACTGTCATCTCCATACATATGAACTCTGTACTTCGCACACTGTGTTGGAAGGTCGTTTAAACTGTATATATGCAGAACTTCAAAGGCCCAAGTACACTTCCCTGTGGCACACCATAAATACATAGGTCTAGGAAAGGAAATTTTGAACTGAAAAGGTTGGCTTTGTAGAAAGTTGGTGGGTTAACATAGTTTAAGTGGCTTTATGTTTTTCTCAAAACACATTTGCTGTTGCAAATTTGTAGTACATGAAAGTATGAGAAGTCTCAAGTAGTCTTCTTGGCTTTTATTTTAATCAGTTTAGTTATCTGGGTTTAAAAGTACCTTCTTGTATAAAGGAAGCAGATATTTGATACGCAATCTACCTTCCAACTTGTGGAAAACTAGTTGATAAACTCAATTTCCCCAGGCTTATAGAGTGTTACTCTCTTGATTCTTTGGACATGTAAAGTTACCTGAACTGCTTTCAGATAACCTCAGAAAAACTGAGGCGCTTTGGAGTTTTCTTCTTCCAGGCAGTGAATATATATTTGTTCTTCACCTTCCAAATCACCAATTCTGTGATTTTGTTTCATTATAGTTTCAGAGGATCCCGCTCACTAGCATTGTTTGTTTAAATGACAATTCTTTTTGGTTCTTGCTCATGACAGCTCTAATTATTCCAGACCTCTGGGGAGAGTTTCCCCTCTCCTTTACTTTCTTCTGCGTGAGGTGCACATGAAATATTGCAATCCATAACACTGAGCTTGGGAACGGGCTTATGATGTATTTACATCATGACATTTTAAGGTTCAATTCACCCAATAGATGCTGTGTTATTTACTCAGGTTTTAAGATGTCAGTTTCTGAGAGGTGGATGGAAAATTTGTTTGCGGTGGTGAAAGCTTCAGCAGCAACATGAAACAGGAACAGGACGAAAAAGAAATCCAAATAAAATTTGCTGACAGCGAAGTCTATGGATGTCTCTCCCTCTCTCACACGTGGGCGTATCTTCTTGTCTAAGCTGTTACTGTGTGTCATGCTAACTCCGACAGCCAGTTATAAGCACCAGGAAGAGTCGGTAGGCCCCCAGAGTGTAATCTGCTCCCGAAAGCCTCCAACCACTTCCACTCTACTGGAAGAGGGCATACACTCTTGACACTGACTCATCTTGTGTGTGCAGGGGGGGGGAGATGAAGTGGTGGTGGGTTTGTGGTTAGTAGAGCAAGTTTAGTATAGCTCACACCCTGAACTGACTGATTGAGAGAGACAGAGTGACGCTCGGCTGGATGAATGGAGGCCCGGGTGGATTTCATGCCCTGTGAAAGCTCTTTTACAGCGTGCAAAAAATTAAATAAATAAATACAAAAATCACATTCCAGTGGAGATGAATTCACTTAAGCTATAGATACTGTAAGGAGATTAAATGAAAGCGGAGGCATTGCATGGATGTGTACCAGTGTTTCCCCTAGGATATTTTCCAGCAGTGGTGCTAAAGTATGTGAGTTTTATTTAGCTTCTGCCAGAATATATTTAGCATGAGAAGGGCTTTAGACACATACTGTATTTGTACACAGTTATAGATGTCAAATAATGTTTAATAAAATGCTTCAAGACCTCTGGAGGTTGGTCTTGCCTTTCCTCCTCTTCTCTCCTGTACGTCTACTCTTTTTCCATACTTTTCTGCCTAACCTACCTACCTAACTACATGTCAAATAATTCCTGCTAGGCATTTTAACATTTCACAAACAGGAGATAAAATACCCAGCCCCTTTACACGTCGTCTCAAAGTCTTTGCTAAACTTTGTTCTAATAGGCAGGTAGCAGAGCCTTCTTCTTATGTCTGGAGGTGTTTGATTTTTAATCCTGACTCGTCCCTTGATTAAAGCAGAGATAGCAAGTTAATTGTGGAGATGTAATATCATCTTTCAGCATAACATGTATTATGAGTTGAGTGTTTTTATGCCATAAGTCTGTCATACTAACATCATGTTTTAAATGTTATTTCTTGAACTTCCTGCCCCCCTTTAAAAGACTAAAAAAACACTGAAATATAATAATGATATTATTGTTTCCTATATAGGGGACGTTATTATGATCATTAATATTCTTCTTATGTTTAGTTATGTTTTAACATAACCTACATGTGCTTTTGTTTCTTTGTTTATCTTGTTTTCTTGTCAGTCATGGAAGGTAAAGTCAATAAAATATTAATCTGATAAAAGGCCTAAAAATACAAAGCTGAATAATTAATGACATGCCATGAAACAGCCCGGATATACAGTATGTTGTGTCTTTTATCAAATTCACGTCTGGAGCCATTTAAAGCAAGTCAAGTGTTAAACTGGAATAACAATCGTGAGGAAGTTATATTGTTGATAACATCAAATGACTTCGCTCCAATCTCTCCACAGCTCTCCAAACCAATTTGTAGAGCAAAGCTATTGAGACGGCAACACCATGAGCAAGTTCAACCTACCGCTGGCAACGCTACAAGGCAAATGCTGAAATACAACAGGACAATCAGGGCAGTGTTTGTACAAGGACGTGATCCAGTACTACTACTGCCTTGTTCACTGGCAATTTCCCATGGGAAGAAAAGCAACTCCTGCCTCCAGCTCCCTCTGTCTACTCCAACTCATACTAATTCTAAACAAATACTAAATGTATCATATCTATTGTTCCTGTTCTATATTAAATATTAATGGAGAGCACAGCATGGATTATGTTGCACTCCTAAGTGAAAAAGTATCTTCATCAGGATAACAAGATGTGGATGAGAGTGGCTGTGGTGTTAGAAACCCTGATTTCTAAAACGTTCAGCCTCTTAGATGCATCTACATGAAGTAAAGTAAATGCATTTAGCAGTAACAGGAAGAAAAGTTTGATCTGGTTTTGGCCCTGAAAATGTACAAAGAATAATCTAATGTTTGAGTTGGAGAAGTGAGCATTGTAATACATTGTGCACCTTCAGTTCCATGTTGTAACATTTGGTTTGTAGAAGCTGCTGCAGCACTAATATGACAAAAAGAAAATATATTTTGTTTCCATGTTGTCTTTGAGGTAGCTTTGATTTACTTAGTCTGCTCATCTCCCAATCCACCCCTTCTGTCTTATATCCTGCCCATGCCTCTTCCTTCCTGTTGTGCAGGATATGAAAATCATACACCATAAAATGGAACAGATTGGCTTTTTTCTTTGTAAACAAAACAAAAAAAAAAGCTCTTGTCTTTCTAAATAGCTCAGTTTTACCGGGCGTATTAGACTTACGTGGTAAGCAGCCAGCGAGACTGCTTGGCCAGTCCCAGACAGGCCAGCAGGCAGATGATCAGGTCCACGATGAGGAGCAGCAGGTAGCTGAGCCACCTGCAGAGACAGACAGAGACAGAAAATTAAACTACTGCTGGTGAATGCATGTTTTGGCAAAGTAAGTACGTTCCGGTTGCACAAAAAATGCAAAAAGCCTTATCTAGAGCCAGTTTGTGGTTTGTCCATTCTGGGCTACAGTAGAAACATGGCGGTTCAACATGATTCTGTATAAGAGTACCCGCTGATTCTGTAGATAAAAACAGCTCATTGTAAGGTAACGAAAAACACAACGATTCTTATTTTCAAGTGATTGTACACTACTGGAAACATACCTATGAATATTATATTCCATTTTTATCAATAGATTCTCCTAAATTTTACACACAGGACCTTTAAAAAAAAAAAAAAAACGGACTTAGAGAAAACAAGTGGGAGTGAGAAAAGAAAACAGAAGGGGAGAGTGTCCCACTTATTTTCACCTCAACGGACATATGCAATAGCTGTCATCTGAGGTGTGTGTAAGTGTGTGTTGGTGCTTGAGGGTATACTCCTATCCAGTATTACCCTCCTCAGTGTGTCCATCTGTTATGTGAGCAGTGGTCAGTCTGTGACCGGACACAGAGAGGCTGTCCAGATGGTTAATAATGAATGGACTAAAATCCATATGGCTGAATGTTGTATGCTGTGAAAAAGACTGGAGGGAGGTGCAGTTAGGTGCTAACCTTTTCACTCTGATCTATGGATCTGTACATCTCATCAAAGTCAGCAACTTTTTTTACATTTTATCTTTGTCAGTGTTCATCTCCCCCTCTTTTCCCCCCATCATTCCAACTGCACTCATCACTCCTACATCATACCCATTTCCTACGTTCTTTTCTTTCTAATCATTTCTTTTATTTCCCATCCATCTGTGTCTCCATCACTCTACAGCATCCTCCCCACATCTCTCACGCTCCCCACTATCTTTCGCTTTTCCCCTCATCCTCCCTTTCACTCTCTTTAATCTCCCTCCTCTCTGCCTCTTTCCCCTTCAGCCCATTTTCTCTCCCTTGCCCTTCTCTCCCTCAGCACCACCGCCACCACCTCCCTGCTATTTCTTCCTCGTTTCATCTTTTCCCCCCTTGGCAGGGTACAGTACAAGAAGCTGGGACATCAACATGCGCATGGAGGCTCTCGGGTGACACTGCCACCGTGTTTGTCTGTGTTATCTTAATCCAATTAGAGTCAAACTGAATACAGCATAGAGACACGTAGGGATGGGGGGTACATTTATGTATAATAGAGAAGTACATGTCCTCAAGAAATTAGCAGAGAGCAGACAATGCAAATCTGTGAGGTCTGTATCTACATTTTAGATAGCTAAGTGCTTACAAACCTTTCAGGCTGAAGAAGGACCTCTTTTCCACCCAAAGTAGATCTTTTTGAAAGATCTGAAGCTTTTAATGTTAAATTTCATCTGTCTTAGTGGCCTAAATTGCAAAGTAGGGATATAATATAATCACAGCAACCCTTAATTACGATGAAGGATCTGTTTCACCAAATGAAATTCTCTTGTTGGGTATGGATAGAAACTTTCTCCCACCAAACAAACTGACAGCAAAAGTCCTGGCTTGTAAACATGATTGTTTATGTGCATCTTACATGTGCCCAATCAATAATCTCTGGGTATTGTCCTTCAAATGGATACTTAATCTTGTTAAGTGTTTCTAATCTATCTTCCAGATGTCATTTTTCACTCTGTTGTAATGCAATTTATTGGAGAAATTGAGAGTAGCATAGCATAACACTTTTTTTTTTAACAAAGTCACAAAAAAAATCACAATTTGCCTCAAGGGATTTTACAATCTGTACAATATTCAGCACGCTCTGCCCTTAGGTCCTTGGGGTAAGGAAAAACTCTCTCACAGAAGTAGCTGTGCAACTTGTGAAAGGAGTTCAATCCACAGTTTAAGAGCCATGACAGCAAATCTACACTTACAAACACTGAAAAAGGTGTTAGAGAATCAAAACTGTGAGTGTTTCTGTCTAAAAAGGTATGTATTTAAATGTACGTATTGGGGGGGAAATTGGATGGATGCATAACACTGGTAAGAGTCCATTATCGTTGGACCCCTAATAAAAGGAATGTAGGACAATTCCTGGAGTGAATGTTGGCCCAGATCAGCGCTCTCTGTTTTTTGTGATTCAGTAAAGTAACATGACAAACAACTGAGAGCGAGCTAGAAGAATAAACAAAAATATTCCAGGATGAGTTAGATAGACAGCCAACTTTAATACAACAACACTTAGACTTTGATAAGCCCAAAAAAAAAAGCACACAAAGACACAAACAAACGCCCGGCCGCACACAAACTATTTGTTGTGGGCTGACAAGTGATAATGAGTCCATTAACAGCTTACAATGTCTGGCTGTCTGCTCTTGGTCTGCCTACTCTATTAGCGGGGAGCTATGTGAGGTATTGAATTATCGACGGAGCAGAGGAGTCACATTACAGATCAATATACACACACCAGCCTCTCCATAACTGCAGACTCACAGAAATACTCATCAAGCCTACACAAGGACTAAAAACAATTGGCTATGAGCCTGTTTCTGCTCTACGATGATAAGACTACGAGTTTAACGGTAATGAGACAAGACCTTCGATAATAGTTCTTAACATAATGTAGTTGTTAAGATTGTTGTCCTCTATCATTAGGGTCGATGCAGTTTAAGTGTTGATGCAGTGATTGCTAATGATTTAATGCGATCCCACTGAACCACGTCTGCAACCGACTTATTCACATAAGTGGATGATACACCACATGCAGCCACATTACTCCCTCCCATCCACTAAACACCATGTGATATATTCAGGTCATAATGTGCGAAATGTAACTACCTACACATGAATTATCTATTTAACTGCATGTTCGGCTGACAAATTGCTCAGGGATTGACTGCAGCCATAAAAGAGACACAATGTTATAAGCTTAAGTGTAGTATCCTGCATCTAAGAAGTAAATATATCTATTTTTTAGCCTGGTTTGTACTATTTATATATGACCATAAAAGTTTGATCCATCTTCCCTCATGCTTAGATGTCCTCCCAAATAAACTGGCACCATCACGGTAATTATAGAACAGCTCACAACTGATTTGCATTTAGAAAATGCATGTGTAAATGTTTGCCTCCCACAAAATTGTGGGTGCACTATGTCCTTGAAAATATTCATGGCAACAATAAACATCATTTAAAAAATCAACATCTGAATCTCATTTTTTCCTCTCAGCTCTTGATGGGTTCTATTTTTGGCAGTTCTCTCTACATTTGACTAGAAACCTGCATCATATAGTGTCACCAGCATTGTGCTCCTGGCCACCCTGCACTGTACAAGCCAGACACATGTATTTTTCTGTTCCTCACCTGTAGTACTCTATGTTTGCCGTTTGATCAGCGATGGATGCCAGGTCCACTTTAGCCTCCTCCCAGTCAGGCAAACCAAGCAGCTGTTTGATCACGTTGTCAGCCATCTGCTGCATGAACTGCAGGGTCTGCACGTAGTCGCCCCGCGTGGCAAAGATCTCATCCAGCCTTGCGAGGTGCTGGTGCAGGCCACTTTTCATGCTGCCCATGGTGCCAGTCACCTGGAGGGCACAAGAGGAAGGGGAGGGGAGGGTGAGATGATGATAGTATAACAGAACTGAGGTTGGGAGTGAAAAATGACGCACGGGTATCAGTTTATGCTTACCAAAAATCTACAGCATCAAATTAACATATTTTGCTTAATGTGTAGGGGATAATGAGTTTGGGTATGTGTGTATTGCTGTACGCAGTAAGAAGTCCTCTTCAGCATAACCTTCCACAAGTATCACCAACAACATCAAATGGAGCCAGAAATCAACTCTATCCAATGATATCACCAGATTTAAGCCTAATAGCAGACCACATTGTGGTCCAAACTAACATACAATAGCTTATCAACTAATAGATGGATTGCCATGGAATTCTATACAGACATTCTTGGCCTCCACAAGATGAATCCTACTGGCTTTGTGAATCCCTAGACTTTTCATCTAGTGCCACCAACAGATGAAACACATTGTTTTGTCCAATACTTTGGTTTATACCCAAACACCTGCAAAACTAATGCCATTCTCATCATTCTCAGTTGTTCTTTGTATTATTGCTATTTAACAAATGTTAGCATCCTAACTCACTAAACAAAGATGTGGTAAAGATTATAACTGATTAACTTCAACATGTTAGCACGGTTACTATTAGTATATTTACATGCTGATGTGCATGCGCTTGTGTCAATCCACTACTGGACCAATCAGTGTCTCCTGACGAACTACTGGCAGCTACGGCATGAGCTACGGGCGTGGTTTAATGATAGGTGTGTGACGACGTGTGAGTTTTGGCTGCTAAAGAAGTTAGCGTAGATGGTGGCAGCATCAGTTATATCAGATCTGGAGAGTATTTGTTCATCGAAGGAAGAGAAAAGAACAGCACTGAAGGCTCTTCTTGATCGAAAAGATGTTTTCGCTCTCCTCCTGACTGGCTTCAGTGAGAGTTTGACCACGCTATGCGGTTCGTTGATCTGACCGAAGTTCACTCATGACTTGATTTTCCAAGCACTTTCCAATGGATACTTCCCAGATGGTTCTGTGTAGCAAACAATCTGGTGCAGTCAGATTAGCTGATGTTGGCATTAAGATCAAAACACTGATGTGTCAACGCACAGCCTCACAGAGCTGCCAGCATGGCTCACATGAAAACTAATTTATTCAAAACTCATGACCTAATTAACTGAATTCATGAGGCATAATAATGCATTGGTAAGTAACGGAATTGTTGATTGAGTACCATTCTGGTAACAGCAAGTTTTTATACCAATAAACCAGTTGGAAGAGATAATATGTTTTTATATCCTCCATCTTTCTACTGAAATAATCATGTATCGACAGACTTTTCTTAGAGCTTAGCACGGCACAGAATCCTGCTCATGTGGGTGCCTTTGGTCAACTTTTCTGCCTGAGAAAGTTTCCCAAAAAAGAAAGTGGCCAAAGGTGAGATTAGCCTAAACATGAGGCTGGTCTGTGCTGCCAAATCAGCAGCGGAGCAGAGAGAGGGGACAGTGTGGGAGAGTTGGAATACTGAGTGTGGGTGTTGGTGAAGAGGTCCATTTTAAGTAAACAGTTCAGCTTGGAAACCAGCCAAAACTAGAACGCCCAGAGGTGAAATAGTAGGTTTGCTGGCGCTGGAGTTTTGTATTCCACAACTGCTGCTCTTTGTAAGACTTTTTTTTCCAAACTGATACCTTACTAATGAGACCAACAGTTTGTTTACTTGTTTAAGCCATGTAATCATATAGCAACTAATCCATTCCCCAAGGGGAAATGTGATCCTCTCAGGCAAACAACAAACAGAACTAATACAGGCTGGACCATTTATTTTTACACATCAGATTTTTGCCTTGTCGACCAAATACAGCAAGACCAGATTGTATGTGAGGAGCGAACATCTCCTGTACAGGCGCTACCAATTTCCTTGGATTTAATTACTCTGTGCTTTGCTTGAAGGGAGAAGTTGTTTACAGGGAAATGGCATTCACAGAGACATCCTGCTATTTGATAATTAAAAAGGGTAATAAATGCTTTCATTCAGCTCTGGGTACTTGGCATTCACAGGAGCGAAAACTCATATTGTTGCTGTGTTTGTCAGGGATGGGGTTTTGCCGAAGCTGAGGCGAGGAGAGGTTGGGTGGAAATAATTAGATGGGTTTGTATTCAACGTGCGGCCCACGCTAGACGGCTGCAAATGAGGCTGAGAGTCTAACCACCCTAGCGGCTCCGTGAGGCACAGTGCTTTGAGCTAAATGCTATGCTAACAAGCTGATGTTTAGAAAGTTATATTTACATGGTTTATCATCTTAGTTTAACTTTTTCGCATGCTAACATTTGCTAATGAGCACTAAACACAGAGTACAGATAAGGTTGATGGGAATGTCATTAGTTCTAATCTAATGACGCCGATAGATTGGAAGTTACAGTATCACCAAAGTTATTACAAAGTATCCTCTGGAGACCTCGAATATCATTATGATTTATCCTCTGTAAGCCATGGTTGTGCGTACCAAATTTAATGGACATCCATCAATTTATTAATAAAAGATGCCCATCTGAGGGGTTGCAGGTTCGGACATAGTAATATAAAAAAAAGTAAAGTAATATAATCTGTCTGTAGAGATAAAAAAAAGAAAAAACTCATGATCAATATTCTAAAGGACCAAATTATTTATATTTATTATTTATAGCCTCTATGTGCAGAATCTGATGATTATAGTGTGAAAAAAGACACTGTAATGAATGGACTCAAAGCAAGACTGTTCCAATTATCACTGAGACTGGCTCACTCTTCAACTGTTCCAATTATCACTGAGACTGGCTCACTCTTCAACAAACAAAATATAATGCCATCAGAATTATTTGAAATATGTTATAATCAGATAAAGATCCTACATATAGGGCTTTAATATTTTTTCTAAAACACAAAAAAGGACCCACACTGAAGCAGCCACTGGGATCATAATCACAGGCCTGTGGTGCTCTGTAGTTTGTTATCGGATCACTCATCGAAACCGCTTCCTCCTCAGACTGAGCAGATGAAATCGCAGATGAGAAATGGGCATGTATCTGATCCTTGCCTCCTGTGTGAGAATCTTATCTAAAACGCCTGGGGAGACAGCCAATCCAACTAATCTCTCCTCTGTCTTGGTTTGATCCTCACCGTGTAAGTGATCCGCACCGATAAAGAAGATATGATTCCCAGTCCCAGTCTTCTCGGTCTTTATCTCAGTCTTATGTTTTGAGGACATGGAGAAGCACTGTGAGCTTCACATCTTTCTAAACAAACAATTTGTACCGGAGTGTGTTCGGTGCAAAGCTATTTTACTGTGGGATATTCATTTCCAAACGCCAGAGGGAAAACAACAAACAAGAAATCACGATAAATGGCAAAACAGCGACAAATGACAAGTGGCCATGGGCTGAAAAAATGACAATGTGCTGCCAAATATCAAATGTGGATTGTGGCTTGAGGAAAGAGAAGAAACATATAGATCAATGGGCATTATTTAAAGGTTCTCCTTTACACGAGCATGTATGTTAAAGATCCTCAGCAGCGTGGTGGGGGTGGTGGTCATTTATTCCCACATTGTTTCCTTGCCACATTGGCTCTACTATAAAAATCGTATCCCTAATTACACAAGAAACTTTGTATCTTTTCACATATGCTTAAAATAAATCATATCATGACATTTCAAAGAACTCTAGCATTATACATGGAAAACAATTACTGTAACACATAATAATTGATATCAAATCATTTATCTTCATCTGAATAACAAGACCAGGTTTAGAAATAGAATTAAAATATTTCTTTTGTTGAATTATCTGTGTACGTCTTGGCCCTCACATTACAATTCTGCCTCTCAGGTTCCACAGAATAGAAATATCACTTTCTTCACTAGAATTGGATCTCTATCTTTAAGTCTGTTGGGGCTGGTACACGGACTCAGAGGAAATGATGCTTCATAGATGACTCTGGAAAAAGAGAGACACAAACCTCCCAGAGAGAATCCATCTTAGTTGAAACAGAAAACAGCTTGCCAAAGTTTGCTTTCATGTTGTTTCTTCTCAGACTCCAAAAGGGCCAAACTTGGGATCTGTTACTTACAGTTTGCAAATGACCAACCAATTGCATACAGCTCTCACCCCATGGCTGCCACCGACTTCTCATCCAAGACTCACTTCCACTATATTATATACTGGTTCAGTAATTGCTTGATAAAAGACTACCAGTGAGCATATTTGTTCAAGTAAAACAAAGGTTAAGATATAGGATTAAACCATTTTTCCTGCTCTAACTCACTGTCTGTGCTTGATAGTGGAGCAACTTTCTTCAATTAAAATTGAATGTGGGAGCTAGAGCGTGAAATGGAACATGGGTCTGAAGTGCCTCAGCAGCTCGGTCACCCCAAAGATAGAGACCATCTTCTCTGCTGGGTAACCAAGCTCAGCAGAACATCTCTTTAAAAATATATTCTTCCCTACCTCCTTTTCCCCTCTCAGATACTTGATGACCACAGAGCTTTTAAGAGATTGTCCCACAGAGGGACTTACAGGTGTTTATGGTTTTGTTGAGCAGAGCAGGCATTAAATTACGACCTTTGGAAAACCCACACACAAACTGTTGTTGACTGAAGGAAGTGGGATCGTCACGCTAAAATTGTTTACTACGAGTTCTGTGATACACAAGTAGATGAGAGCAGTTCCAACCACTCTATGAACGTCTGTTTGATCAGTTTTTGAAGAGAGCAAGAGGCGGAAAGCGGTTTGGCAGCAGAGATGACCTCTGGCCCAGTGTCTGTAGTTTCCCTTCAGCTTTACAAGGATGGTCATCCGACCATGTGAGATCAAGGATGTCAGCAAAACTGTCAGTAAATCTCAGCTTGATTGCACCTGCCAGCGCAGATACTAAGACACGCATCAAAGAGATCTTTACAATTGCACCCAGGGCAGGCAACCGCTTAATAAGTATTTTCTATTTCCTAAACAACTGAGGAGAAGATTAAGTCTCTCTGATACAATTTCTCTCTTTCAAGAATCACCAGACTCTAATTACAATAAATTGTGGGGTAGAAGAGAGATGATGGTGTCTCTCCTTTGTATTATAGCTGAAGTTACTGTTGTGGAGCTGGCAAGAGGAGTCAAATCCATATCTTTCAATTTTCCATCACTTATGGCTGCAGGCTTTGCACGGTGGCCCTGATGACCTTTTCCAAGCCACATTGTACAGCTCTTTCTGGGGGGGGGTATCCCAAGGCACTGTATCTCCAAAAGTTTTATTCTACTTTATTATATCGGGAAACGTGAGAAATGTGACACTGAACTATGAATCACAACCTAGGCATATGCATATGTAGGTAACAACAGCAGGAGTCCAGTAAACCCTCAAGTGCATTATCTTTCGACCTCGCCCCAAAACGAAAACAAAGAATTCAGTTTGTTTTTCAGCCAAAAATAAGTATTCATATTATGAATACCATATTATTTTGTATTATTCCAAAAGCGTATTATGGGAATGATCTGGAAATAAGGCATGTTTGTAATTATGCAGTGGGCCAACTTCCAAACCGTGTTAATGCTCCGGCCAAAAGTGTTCAGTGACTGCCCAGACATCGACCCAGTCCATCGGGTGACTGCTGGCTGCCAAACTCTCACACAACACCCAGCTCCAAACAATAAAGTTATTATTAGTGTGGCTAAATGCTTCAAATGTCACATCAGTCCCATTACAGCATAGATAAAGAATCTTGGTGGGCCAGTTGCCAGATTATACAGCCCTGGTGATGTTTTTTCTTGCATTTCTTTTTGAAAGACTTGAAAATAGCATGCATGTCTTTTGTGTAATTCACATTCTCACTGCATGTCTCTGTGTGACAATGTGCGTGTGAGTTCATATACACATCATAAGCATATATTCTAGACTGTAGCTAATCAAGGTAGCCGAGGTAAAAGCATCAGCTGATAATGAGTCTAACTTCCTTCCTTTCCTCTCTTATATACCTTCTTTAGAAGCAAACTCACTTCTAAACTCTCTTGGAGCCGGGCTAAAAGGCATTTGTGTGGGCCAAACGGCAGTGAGGCCTTCATTGTCAATGATTTCAATACAGATTTCAGTCCTGACTCTGCCAATCAGACAGGCTAGCAGTGCTCCTTGTTCTTCCCCATCAAACGGCTTTGTCTCCTCGGCTCATGGTTGATTAGGTGGGGGGAGACTGGGAACTGTGTGTGGCACACTGGGCTCTTTGTCCTACTCAAGAACTAGACTCCTTAACAGTCTATAGCTGCGTGCAATGAACTCACTCATGCACACACACACACACGCACACAAGATGCTAAAATAAAAGCCACCATGTCCAATTATGTGTTTGCATGAGTTCACACATCCCACAGGAACACACTGTCAAGCGTTCTGTTGAACTATATGTTAATGATTTCTCTCCTCTTGCTAATGTGACTTTGAGAAATGAACTTGGCCGACTGCTTCACAAGAATAACAGAAAACACTCAGTGAACAATTCACTCAATCTAGAGATGTATTTATCTGTATCTGTATTAAGGTAATATGAGATTAAAATGTGGTTATATCGATTAAATGTAGTTAATCAAAAAAGGCTAATATGTGTATAGTTTATGTTAGCTGGTTACTGCAAATCATGTGAGAACTAATCCCTGTTGACAATCTACAGCAGCTCCACTGCTCTTCATCAGAATTACAGAGTTCTTACATGTTTCCAGTTTAAATTATTTATTAAGAGCGTCAATCAGAGCCAGACAGCTAAGAACTACTCTCCATTAAAAATCCAAGATTGTTTTCCTTCATCATAAGCGTAAGAAGTCCTGACACAGTGCTGCAGCGGGCGTGCTGTCGGCTCTATACCCTCTCAGCAAAGTGTTTATTACTGAGGCCATGTCGAGTCACCAAACTAAGTGGTTCACATACAACCACATTAATCTCCATTAACACAGATGGAGACTTAATCCCTACTCTTCGACAGCAAGTCACCCAGGATCTCTGCCTGCACCGACACCATCATAGGACCACCGCTGGTCAACAACCACGAGGAAACGCACAGCTAATGTTGACAAAAGAGCTATTAATATGTTGTTGGTCACAGTTTAAAATCAATTCTCAAGTCAAATTAATCTATGCAACAATATCAACCAACATATTGACACATATCTTTTACTATTTAATATTTCATCTCACTGAAGAGCTGCGCACAGTGCATTGATTCACCCCACCGCCCTTTGCCCCACTGTCTTACTCTCTCTCTCACATACGGATAATGGACCTGTTTGTGAATAGTCCCTTCTCCTTCTCAAGGCAATCTGTCTGTCAAGTCTGAGGTCAAGTCTCAAGTCAATCTGTACAAGTCTCAAGTTTCAACTGATACCGTGAGCACATAGCCCAGGCAGTCACTTGATAACAACCTCCAGCTCAACACATCTAAAACACAAGAACTTATTAAACATTTCAGGCACAACCCACTCCCCAAACCCCCATACATGTCTCAAGAGAACCCACCATCACTGACTCATTCAAATTTCTTGGCACACACATCAGCAACACACTCAAATGGAACATCGCGCATTACCAAAAAGGCCTTTTTCCTAAGACAGCTCAAAAAATGGAAAGTAGAACAAAGCCTCCTCCTTTCAGTTTTACACAGCCATCACTGAGAGCAAGCTCACCTCATCCATAACAGTTGGGTACGGCGGCACGGACGGTCACACACGCAAAAAAACTGCAGCGTGTAGTCAATAAATCATCTCAGATTACTGCCCCCACCCCCCCATCAGCTGAATCACTGTACCACAAACGCACAATCAACACAGCAAAGTTTCAGATGATGCCATCTAAGAGACGCTATAGGTTCCTGACCTTAACAGTTTTTTATCCACTGTAATAAAGACTCTTAATAAATCCTTCTCATTAACTCTGACAGAGGAACCTGGATTTAAAACTCCTGTATCAATCTTGTGAATATTGTCTGTGAATACTGTTCTGTCATTGTGTCTTATGTGATATCGATATCTGCCTATGTTTGATGTTACAGACTCTGCTGAATTGAGCTTACCCAACATGCATTATCGACCTTGGCCATGATGTTATTAATAAACGACTGATTGAAGTTTCAACCGCGATGGGAATCGAGAACAAGTTCCAGCTGAGAACCGGTTCCAAATTGTCAAATCCATCAGAATTGTATGCTTCCAAGCTTATCAATTCCTTTTATCGATGCCGGTATGTTTTTCTGACAGTTGCGCAGTGCGAATCAATGACATCAAATGCATAAGTGCAACAAGAAGGAGTCACGGTGGAGAGGAAAAAGCGTGGCTTTATTTATTATTTATATATATGTAAACTACAATAACTGTACTTTTCCAGACTGTGTTCACAGTCTTTCCACACTGAAATGTGATCAGGAATCAATAAGGGAATTGGTAATGACATTGCATTGGTATCATTAAAATCGTATCAATTCCCATTCTTAATCAAGTCTAAAGTCAATGTACACAAGCGTTAAGTCTAGTGTTAAGTCAATTTATACATGGCTTAAGTCAATCTACAAAAGTTTCAAGTCAAGACTCAGGTCTCAAATCTCAAGTCCTCGACCAAAAAAGCCTAAGTTAAGTCACAAGTCTTCATAACTTCAAGTCCATTGCAGGTCTTTTAGGTCCCAGTTTATAATCAAAAACACACAGCATGTGAATATCTTGCTTTTACAGCTGTGTTTATACAAGTCCAAGTTCAGCGTCAAAGATAATTTTTCTGACCCAAGTCTGACTCAAGTCAAAGTCTCAAGTCTCAGGAGCATTGCTCAGATGACAACACAATCCTGTAGATTCAAAACCAAATTGCCAAGTACTTTCACGTTTGAATAGAGTTTAATTCAGATTTTACTTCAAAAACAAAATTTCAAAAACACTGGTGGAGAGAAAACATCCAACTGCTATAACTTCTCTGAGTTTGACTCTAGACTAAAAGGAGAAAAACGCCTTGTCATTAGTGTGAAATTTGCAACAGCGAGTCAGTGTGATGAGCGTCTCCAAGATGGGAAGTGAGGCAGATAAAAATAGACACATGAAACACATACTGAGCTAAAGTGAGCATGAAGAAAGACACGATTCTTTGTTTCTGCCGAGGCCACAGTGGCAGAGAGAAGGTGGAGCAGGGAGGGTGAGAGAGTGTGTGTGTGTGTGTGAGAGAGAGTTCCCTGTCTGGGAGGAAAGAGTTTTTGTGTGGAGAGACTGTCAATTTGTGTCTAGCGGTAAAAAGCCATAAAAAGACCATAAAAACATTTAAAGGCATACTAAATTGAGTCCTCTGGGCTTTCCTCCCGTCTTGAGTGTGTGTTTTTGTGTTTGTGAATACATCACAACCAGCTTTTCTGAAGCCTACACTCAGAGTTGTTTGTTTCTAGCTAGACGAGTCTCTCATCTATAAATTGTATGCTTTATGAAATAACACAAACTGACGTTTTTCAGGTTGTTTTAACGAACCAAAAACATGACGCCACTTAATTCATACATTCATTCAGACATTACGGGGTATGCATGCGTTTGATGTGTATGAGGAGGTGTGTTTTTTACCTACCAGACTGTCCACACCGCCCAGTGTGTGATTGGCATTGTACAGGGAGTAGGTCAACTGGTACACGCCGTCATTGGTCTCGCTGTTGCCATAGAAACCCACACCCACTGCGACGCTGCAGAGAGAGGAGGCATGGAGGGACAGGTAAGCCTTTGTTAAATTAATGAGGAGCAGAGTACAACAGCAACGGGGCTTGGCTTGTAAATCCTGTATGTCTGAGAAGATGTCCTTTTCGGTCACTGAATACAACGTTTGTCAGCTTCAAAGCCAATATAAGAACAGTCGCCGAATTAACAAATGGTTGTAAAAATAAGGATTTTCTTTGTTATAAAACCACTATGACATCTTGCGGCAGAGATGTACTACCTACAAGGAGTGTGGCACGAGAGAAAACAACACCTACACTATATTTTATGAATATTTCATGCCTTATTTTTCACCCCGGCATTTGGGCATTATCATAAAGCAGTATCATCATTTTTTTCCACCAACCTTGACTTTTGGATAAACAGGGGGGAAAAGGTAACAAGGCAGTTTGGGACAATCTCTGGAGATGGAGATTTTGTTTTTGTCCATTCAATAGTTAATTGTCATGGTAAACATAGTCACCCAGACAGAATGAATGACAGCGGATTGAAAAGGCAGAGTTGATATGTGTGTCTTGGTGAAGCATCTTGGAGACTTCATAGCCAATTAAGGTTGTGGGAGAGATAAAATTAGACTCATTCAGAGATTGTGCTTCTTCCTAAATTGTTTCTCTGCTTCACATTCAACACCCATGTCCAACACAAAAGCTAACTTGCTTCTTTTACTTTACAATGTGATAAAAATATCTTTTTAAGAAATATATAAAGCCACACAACTGAAAGTGAAATATGTGTGCATGGACATGTTTATGCAAACATCAGAACTGAATGGTTCGCTACAGCAGGCAAAGCAAATATACTGTATCCATAGAAGTTGAAACAAACGGTTTGGGTTTCTGTGTTCATTTACGTAAACAACACTCTTTGAACCAGAAATTATACAATACAGTGTTTTGGAATGTGTGTGCATATATTTGAAACCGCTTTTGCATATTCAGTCATCCAAGGGTTTCATTTGTTCAGCTGGAGCATCAGCACAAACAAAATAATCATCACCATAAATGCACACTCTTAAGTAGTCTCTCTGAGTATCTTTTTTCTCTCCAAAGTGCAGTGGCATTGTGCTGCCATATGAGGAGATTCTGAAAACAGCTACAAAATTGCTCTCTACATAAACCCCACAATTAAATCAGATGGAGAAACATAATGTCTCACAACACACACTGAAGGCACTGGACAAGATCCTCTTGCAAAGACAATGATGTCCATGTTACATCAGGGACTCTAGCTAGGGTAAAGAAGAGAAGGCCTGGTAAACAAATTAATAACAATCTTAATGCAGTAAAATGCCAAGATTTGCTTCTGTGTTTTAGAGGTGGGCTGCCTCACCTGAAATAAAGACGGCCCATGCTAACCTCAGAGGAAATCAATACCCTTTTATGAAATAAAACATTCATGGAAAACAAGTCCGTAAATGACACAGCCAGTAAATGTACAATGAGTAAGGCTTTTGGTTAAATCGTCACACATCGCACTAAATTGATCCTAAAATGAGATGCAGTCAGGATGTGTAAGACTCAGGAGATGACATGGTTTAGCACCAGCGCTGACATATTTCCTGGGGGGAACTCTTTACACACTGAGCCCCCCGTTGATCAAGTACACCACGTCCAGTTCGATCCAATTCAACAGGGACAACACAAAATAAAGTGTCTAAGTAAGGTGTTAAACAACCATGAGCCTCCAAGCCTCATTGACCATCGGCAGAGATCCTCCAAGCGTCTGAAACTCTACTTGAGGGATGAACACTGTCTCATTTGGGGTTTTGATGATGACATGTTGTACCAAAGCATTTCTTTTTAGTAGCTGTAGTTTGTGAATCTTTTGAATTGTCCTTCACTGGATTCAAATGTGCTTCTTATATTATGTTATATAATATTAGAATATAATGACCACAGAGATTGGACTCAAATATAAGCTTCATTATTGCAGAGCTGTACTAGATTACATTGTGCAGCTAGACAGAAACTGACAAAGAACTCGCTACATTATCTGATAATCAATGGCAATTAATATAAAGCAGGGAGGAGTAGTGCTCCCCAGCGTGGAGCAGATACAATATATGGCGATTTCACTTTGATTTACTATGAATCAATATTTTATAACCTCATTAATTCTACAAGGTTTTATGAGTGTGTGGTCTCCTCTCCACTTATCTAACAAGCCATAAAACATCAATACAGCTTCCTCTGATCTCCACATCCACTTATAGCTATCTCACCACTTACTTCAACCTTGTGCCCCCCCACCTTTGGCTAACCATTTACATTACTCTTGGCTTTTGAACCTTTTATGCATTAATTGTAGCTAAATATTTAATTGGATAAATCCTTTATTAATACTTTTAGCTAAATATTTCAACAATTTATCCAAAAACTTTTAGCTTACCATTCCCCTTACTGTTTTTTTTTTTTTTAGCTTTTAGCTAAATATTTCATGGATAAATCCATTACTTTACATTTTTACAATTTATCCCTTAGCTACTTTTAGCTATTACCATGTATCCATTACTTTTAGCTAACATTTCAACTATTTATCCATTACTCTTAGTTAAACATTTATAACATTTAGCCATTACTTTAAGCTAACTATTTTAAATGTGCATCTATTACTTAACTATTTTAACTAGGTTATATAGGTTATACATTACTTTAAGCTAACTGTTTGAGCTCTTCATCCATTGCTTTTAGCTAACTATTTCAACTTAAAGCTAAGCTGTTTTTATACCAACTGTGGCTTAAAATGGCTTGCTTGCTAACTAGGCCTCACACACACACTCAACACACATTGTTGAGGTAAAGCTGACTCAGTATGAGTAGGTTTTTAAAATTCAGATCCAGATTTCTACTCCGCAATCTTTCCACAAACCCCCCAAAGCAACGGCGGAAGTACCCATGGTTGGGAATCGCTGCTATAAACCACCACTGTCCCATTACAAAACATGCTCCAGATGAAGGAAAGAGGCAGGTCAGGTCAGTACCAAAGGGAAGGTAAGCAGGAGTCAGACTAATTGAGACCTACAGCAGTATCCTTAACCTTGTGGACTCTTCCCTGATGCTCCAGATAAGTGTTAAGCAGAAAAGGGAGACTATAAATCCATGGTCAATGGTGCTTCCTGCAGCGTTCAGCTGGAATTAGAAAGTCTGGCAGAGCTGTTGTAGCTGTGCAGCAGCGCGGTGGTCGAATCTGAGTGCAGGTGGAGCACAACAACAGGGGCTATTTTCCTAATTAGTACAACAAGGACAGCCTCATTAACTGACCCCCTGCAGGTAAACCACCCACTCTGCAGGTTTTAACATAACCCTCACGGAAAAAAATGGACGAGGAGACACATTAAACACAGAGTAGATGTGAAAACAAAAAGGTTTGGAGAGAGACAGGAAGTGACAGATACAGACCAAAAGAGACAGACTGACAGTGATACAAGCAGACCGTGGATACTGTATATAGGCAGACAGGAAGACTGACAAAAACTGAGATGACACAAAAGCAGAGAGGAAGACAATGTGACAAACAGAGCAAGACAGAAAAAAAAAAAAGCCAAAAACAAATAAAAGAAGATTTGCCTTGCCTCGTGCTCCCACATTTAATAATAATCCACTGCTGATGACGCATATACTGATACATTTAATTTGTTGGATGTATTTTCGCTCCCACCAAGAAACATCACCTACAAAAGAAAACATACCACTGGAGTTGCTCTCCTTTCATCTGTGTAAACAGATCCTCTAATGCCACAGTCACAGGAAACGGACTGAATAAAAGCAGGCGGTAAATACATTCTTTGAACCATGCAAATAGTTTAAGGGTAGAAACTAATTAATATACAGAAACTGGGAGGACAGAGAGGCATGTGCAAAGAGAGAGAATATCACTCTTTTCCCTCTTTCACTCTGTGTCCTTCCAGTTCCCTTTGTGCTGCTCCTTGAAATATCTGCGGTCTAATCCAAAGAGAAAGAATATCATAGATTTGAGCAGGCATGTAACGAGCAAAAGTCCAAACTGTCATCTTGATAAATGACAAAGTGGATAAAAGACATTGAGGGGAATTCAGAAAGGGAACCAAAAGCTTCAGCCTGAGGCAGAAAAATGCCCTTAGCTAGTATGAATACACTCAGACATGTTTGAATATTTGAGTTTCTGCCCAAAAATGGCAGCAATGACTCCTGCTGAGATGACAAATATAGAATTTTATATTTTACTCTGCCCCCCCTGAAGTCTCAGCAAGGGCCACCAAAAATTCCCTTAATAGCAGGCCTATAATATAAAAATGGAAATAGCTTCTTTCTACATTTTTCATGCACACATCTCTGTTGTCAGAGCTAGAGAACTGGCCAAATTAAGGCCTGAGATGCAAAACAAGTTATAAACTGTCAGCTACTAAAAATAGATGACCTCAAAAAAGTGAATGAATACCACTGCTGGTATGCTTTCATTGCTGATACTGGAGGCATTGTATAAAAAAAGCTTCTGGATCCAACGGAGCGAACTGATATCATGTAAACACACAGCTTATCTCTCCCTTTTCTTCTGTCCTCCATTCCGCTTTTTGATTGGCACCTATCACAATAAACAAACACAAATAAATATTTAAAGTGCCCTGGAAAAGAGAATAACTTATAAAACCATTTACATAAGCAGTGGAAACGCTGCTGTCATTGTGTCTTTACTTTGATTGGAGACTTGAGAATAATGACATGGTTTCATACTTCTTACATTGAAAGTATTTTAGATTGTATTTATTTGCTGGCTTACATCTGTCTGTCAAAGGGACAAGAACCGATTGTAAGTTGTCGTTAACCTCGGGTATAAAATTATTGGCAAAACATAGAGATCCCTTGCACAGTTTAATACCAAAAGGGATGTGAGATTGTCAGTGGCATGTCTTTTATGAATACTTAAAGTAACATTAATAATAGTTCTAGAGACCATGAGCCTTTGCCATACAAGAGGCGGGCAGTTTACCTTC